CAACACAGAAAGTTGTCTGGCTATGCTGACTTATAGAATGAACTTTGGACATTAGTGCTGTCAAAACAGCAAACAGATCAAGCCTCCAGTAAGTAGAGTTGGTGCTTTTTTCAGCAATTTCTTAATCAAACTATGAACACAGAGCAGGCTTCATAAGTTCCCTTCTTCCAAAAAAATGTTGAAATTCTGAATATTCTCACACTTTGAGACCGGTAAACTGATACCTCAAATGAACTGACAGCGGACCAAATCCCAGGCAGTTGGAGACTTGAGGTCTATATTGTCATGTAAATATTCCAAGGAACAGTCCATTACAAAATGGCCTGCAGACAAACAACAGCAACAGTAAACAGCTTGGGATAAATGGAAGCCGGAGAGTGAATAACTTCACATACACACATATACACACACTTTCACGTCTGTGTACAGCATCAGCAGTGGCAGTGTTTAATATGCTGAAGGAGATTGTGCGTGGTATTGGCTTTTGGCAGTGAGCAGTGGAGGGAGGAGAGAGATAGATTGGTGCAGGATCCCTCTCTTAAATGTTTAAAGAGTACTCACACAGAACCCAAAGGGTGTGTGTGTGTGTGTGTGTGTGTGTGTGTGTGTGTGTGTGTGTGTGTGAGAAAGAGTGGGAGAGACAGAACGAGAGAGGCAACATTATGTATAGAGGACTTTAGGCACGGCCACAGCTGGTTTGTGTGTGGATGCTTTGTAAGAAGAGAGAATTTCCACACTGAAATGTGGGTTTGCTGGGTGTGCTGATGCTAGAGTAGGTTTTTTGTGTTTGTGTTTGTTCCTGTCTAGCTATATTTGTGAGGACCGAAATCTGCATTCTACTTTAATTGTGAGAACCAACAGGCACTTGTGAGGACGCACACACCAGTTCTCACAAATTTGAAGGCCTTTTTGAGGCTCAAAATGTGGTTTTAGTGTCAGGGTTACAATTAAGTTATGGTTAGGTTTAGGGTCAGGGTTAGGCATTCATTTTTAATAGTTAGGGTAAGGGTCTAGGGAAACCATTATGTCAATGAAGGTCCTCACTAAGATAGCTGAAGGGGCTTGTGTGTGTGTGTGTGTGTGTGTTGCAGTATGTAAACGAAATCAATTCAAGTTCTTTATGCTGAGTCACTCGGTGGGGAAGAACTTTGGCGTGAGGAAGTAGAACCAAAATTGTAATAAAGTGCTTTTGTGTGTATCAGGAGAATGAAACTGGCCTCACATTGACTCCATATTTCATGAATCAGTACATAACTACGGAGCCCCTCTGATGACATGGTCCAAAAAATAAATAAATTGTGGCCACAAAATACTACTTCGTGGGCACGAAATGGGTATAACGTGCGCACGAAATACTTATTTGTGGCCACGAAACACTTGACGGATAACTGTGATCCTTGCCAGGCCCTTGCAGTTGGTTCACAATAAAATCTATCCCGGCGTCCAGGTCGTACTTGCGTCTATAAAGCAACTGGGCTCTCAATATCCTGTCTCTCCGTAATAATGGTTCCTTGCATTGCCAGGCTTTTCTAAATGCATTTGTAGCTCATTCCCA